TGACCCCAAGCCTAACCCCAAGCCCTACACTCACCAGGGCTCACATAAAGGAATGTAAGGTCCTAAACATCACAGTGTCGTGGGTACATGACACCCTAATTACGATTTGGGTACTTGGACCTCAAACCTACATATCACTGCATCCCCTTCAAACCCTTTCCCTAATATCTGGGTAGCCTGGCATCGGACCAGAAATTTGGAGTTCAGCGAACCGACCAGCAGGAGCAGAAATGCCGAAGAAACAAGGTCCGCATACCTCATCCAGATTTGGATGCAAGATGCAACAGTTTTGCTGCGCTTTAATACGCAAAAAGGTGAATCGCCAACTTGCTAGGCTTTTACTCAGCCAGATGCTCCTATGCAACCAGTTCCTTTTTTAGTGATATACTTCGCTACCCAGACCATGAAAGGGCCAAAAAGCAACTACACAGGAGCCCTTGGGTAAATAATTCCAGGAAACCCCGTACGTACAGAAATCCCAGCTTCTGTTTCATGCTCCATTTGACCTTGCATTTGACTCTCTCTACAATCCAAAAAGGAACTACCTGGAGCCCTATACTGGTACCCCATATACCCCGGCATAAGCCTATGCATTACTATATATCCCCACATATATCCCTGAACATGTCCCCTAAACCCTAAACCCCAAATCGTAAACCCTATCCCCTAAACCCTAATATATACAACCTATATGAGCCACAGTCTAAACTCCTAGTATCCCCCTTAATAACCCCTCTAGTAGTCCCCTATATTACCCCCTATATAATCCCCCTTTAAGGAGTTTAGACTATAGCTCATATTGATCCCGAAGCCGCGGTGTAAGTTCTGCCAGGATGCTCTATCAATCGCGTCATGTAGAAACCGTCAGCGTTGCACGTCGGTTGAACTCGAGCTGCGGCACATGAGATTGCTGCACCGTTCGCAAAGACGTACACCTGGGTTGCATGGTTTCGGCTCTTGTTCTTAGGAACGACTGGGTTGCTGTTAAGGAACTATAACTTACTATATTGGAGAAACCATATTAATTAATAGATATACCGGTTATGGTAACTTAATTTACAGTCCTTAACGGCAACCCAGACGCAGTGTTTTAATGGAAAGCCAATGGGTCTACAAAGTGATCTTTGGTAAAAACCGTCCACTCCAATCGCTGGAAATCTGGACCACAGAGCTGCCAACCCCAAGCCAAGGAAAATGCAACACTTCTGCATAATTGCATCTACAGCTACATATAAACCTTGACCTACTGTCCTAAACCCTAAGCCCTAAACCATAAAGCCTATGAGACACAAAGGCAGTCCAGAAACGGTTGCGAAGCGGTAGAGAAGGATAAGGGCCACGAAGAACTGGAGGCCTGCAGTGCGAAACGACTCCGAGCATTGAAGGTTAGGGTTCAGGGTTGCGGGCTTAGGGGTTTAGGGGTGTAGGGTTTAGGGGTTCGGGGTTTAGGGGTTTTGGAGTAGGGTTTTCGGCTCTAGGTGGGGCCTTGCGTTTCCCTCAAATGGCCCAGTCTCCAACAATCGAGTACTTCAGATAGACGTGTATACTATCTGACCGTTATACATGAATTCCAGAAGCCTAAACCCTAAACCCTAAATTCAAGCCATTTCGGTGTTATTTTCCAACAATAATTTACCATCAAGAGGTCAGGTCCGGCCAGGTTGTTAAACCGGTTTAGGGTTTAGGGTCTAAACCTAAGGCCCCCTACCTATCGTTGTTGGGCGAAGCCTGTCATTCGTCCCTCCTTGGACCCTTAGGTTTCCAGCTTTAGGGTTTAGATTTAAAGTTTAGGATTAGGGTTTAGAGCTTGGAGCTTTGGCTTCAGGGTCTGGGCTTAAGGAGAACTATTAACTTCAGATCCTCCAGGTGACGGGCTTCAACATTTCAGCTCTTGCATCACTACATAGGCCCGAAAGAATGGACCCTTCAGTAACTCCAACCCTAAACCCAAAACCTCCACAAACAATAAAGCCTTTGGCGGCCTTTAGAGCGCACGTGCTCCGTGACGAGGTCCACAGGGACGCAGCGTGCGCCGATGGCCTCCGGCGAGGGCACGTCAATGGGGCTGGCTTCCTGAGAGCCGGAGTCCTGACATGGCGTAGGGCTGTGTGTTTAAGAGTTATAAGGCCTAGGATTTAGGGCTTAAAGCTTAGGGTATGGTATCCAGGTATGGTTCAAAGCTCGGGGTTTAGGTTTTTTTGGGGTTTGGATGTCTTCTCGAGAGACGTACTTCTAACAAAGGTTTGTATGTCTGTCAGCATTATACCGACATGTGATGCGTGCCGGACAAGTATGAATACTACTAGTACTATTGGCACTAGCTATGTGGGCTTAGAATCAGGGATTTCATTTAGGGTTAAGGGTCTAGGGCCCTCAACACTACACCCCGAACCCACCCAAAACCCCAAACCCTAAGCCCTGTTGTCACGAACGGACTTAGATTTCAGGTCTGTCTTTTGGATTTTAATGCGTCCAGGGACCTCTTTTCGTCTGCAGACTGGAATTGTCTGGGTTGCTGTTAAGGAACTTAAATTAAATGAAGTTACCAGAATATGGGTATGTAGTACATAATGGCGTTTCATTTTTGTAGCTATCTAACAAAGTTCCCTATCAGCAACCCAGTTGTGCGATTTTGGGTTCAAGGCGCAAGGTTTAGGGACGGCTGATGGATTAGGATGAAGGCTTCAGGATTTAGGGACCCTTAGGGACCCTTAAGGACCCTAAACCCTAAACCATTAGGGTAAGGTTTAGGCCTGAGGGTTTGGATTTTTCGTTTCTGCCTTTTAGAAGGCCGCGTGACTCTCATCACAAGCTCCCAATGCCCCTGTTGCTTTTGCAGGAAATCCCGAACTCCTAGGGTTCGGGTTTCAGGATTCTCTCTAAACCCTAAACTCTTCAAAGGAGTCTGTGCCAGTCAAGCATCTGACTCTGAGGAATCCGACATGACGACACATTGCCAGCAGACGTCACGAGCTCTGGAAACCTAAAAACTAGACCCTGAATCCTAAACCTGGTGTTTGGGGCTTATGACAGTCTAGGGCTCAGGGTTAGATCTTCAGGCCTTTAGGGTTTAGGATTTCGTGTTTAGGATTTAGGGTTCAGGGTTTAGGACTTTTTGGCTTATAACTTGAGCAGAAGAAGGCTGCAGCGAGAATATGGGTATCATGACCTGAAGTAGGGGCTTTGGGGAAAGTGTATGAGACCACGTCATGTCCTTTTAAGCTCCATGCCCATAGGTTGAGGGTTCAGGGATTGGGATTTAGGGTTTAATGATTCGGGTTTAAGGCTTAGGGTTTAGGGTTCAGGGTTTAGGGTTTCCGCTTCATGTTCCATCTTCTTTTCCACTTGATTCTCCAGTACCTAGTCTAGTATAGTGTCCATGCGCTCTTCCGTCAACATTAGTATCCCTGTTAATGACCCCTTTAAAAGTCCCCGATATAATCCCCTATACAACCCCCCTTCAAGGAGTTTAGACCACTAAACTCTAAACCCTATTAACCGCTTTTAAGGACTTTAGACTATATCCCTAAACCCTAAACCCTAACCTTGGGTACTGCCCCCCCTCAGTAACAGTTGGATAATAACAATATGGGTATACATAGCCTGTAATGGGACCCCTAATATAGACCGTTACTGGGTGGGGGTAGTACCCAACCTAAACCCTAATCCCTAAACCCTAAGCCCTAAGCCCTAAACCGTAAACCCCTAAAAGCCTAAACCCTAAATCCCTAAACCCTAAAACCATAAACCCTAAAACCCTAAACCCCCAAACCCCCAAACCCCAAACCCTAATCCCTAAACCCTAAACCCCTAAAGCTCATATGGATCTTGGGCACCTGGACCTTCAGGCTCAAGTTGCTCTCTGCAGGAATAAAGGCAGCTGTTGTTTGGGTTTAGGGTTTTATGGGGTTTAGGGTTTAGGGGTTTAGGCTTTAGGGGTTTAGGCTTTAGGGTTTAGGGTTATAGTCTAAAGTCCTTGAAAGCGGTTAATAGGGTTTAGAGTTTAGTGGTCTAAACTCCATAAAGGGGGGTTATATGGGGATTACAGTTCTGAACCCGCCCATTAACCTATCTAAGATTCGAACAAGGAAACGTAGGTTAGGGCTTTGCAGAATATGAGATATGTCGGTATATAACTGTATAACTACATATATATATATATGTACATACGTGGGTGCAGGAGTTATGGCACACAATCAGCGATAATGGATTTCAGATCTTACAAGCAGACTGCCAGGACAGTTTATTAGGCCGAAGCCAGGTAGGCACATGCAAAACAGAGTGTAATCTATGAGTTAGGAGGACCCCCCACCCTGTAATACTGGTATAGTAAGAATATAAGAGGACCCTAATAGAATCCCTATGATCCCCTATAGTCACTATTACTGGGTGGGGGGTCCACCTAACCTATAAGACTAACTATGCGGAGACGACGTGGTCACAATTCAAGTGCTTTCCTACCTAGGCCCAACATAGGGAAACCCTAATATAACCCCAAAATACTATAGTCCTTTATAAAGGGACCCCCGAAGATGGCAACCCTAATTTTGGGAAACTCCCACCAACAGCAAGAATCAGCCCCCAGGATGGGAAAAAACACCACAACTCCACTCTGAATCAGGTACAGGACACAATCCGTGAGGGTTGGAATGGTTTGGATTTAGGGTTTAGGATTTAGGGTTTGCTGCTTAGAATTCAGGGTATAATGAAAAAGAAAATGGAAGCTACTATGTATTATTCAGGGTTTAGGGTTTAGGATTTAGGGCTTAGGGCTTAGGATTTAGGGTTTCTCGGATTTGGGTTTAGGGACCATACAGACAGTTTTCCAACCCAGTATATTACTAACCCATACAGTATCAACACCGCAGAAATAGTCTCACAGTTGTTGGTCAATCTCATGTTGCATGTCTCCATGATGAAAAATGAGGTGTAACATTTTTTGTCAGCTATACTGGCAAGCAAGAACCAGACACTTGTTGCAAGCGTGCTGAGCGTGGGACAGGAGGTCGAAGACATGCTGAAGCCTCGCTGGTGCTTAATAGGGAGTGGTGGGGTGAATATATACGTACCATTGTAGGGGTATGTATGGGGAGTATATAAGGAATACTATAGGGATCCACCCCCCAACTCTCCCTTAAGCACTAGGAAGACAAACAGAATCCCAGATGCTTTTCACATGGGTCCACTTTAGGGTGTCAAGGTTCAGGTTGCAGGCAGATACGGGGCGTACATAAGGATAAACAGGGTTCTACAAGGATAATGGAAAAGAAAATGGAAACTACTATTTGTGGGTTAGGGTCTGGGGATACCAGCAGCTGAAATTAGGTAGACGTATCCTATGGCATAGGTGTGAAGAGCCTGCCGCGCTTGAGGACTGCCGTTCCGGGCGGCAGCGTGTAGGCTTCTAGGTCTACCTTCACAGTGACCCTAATTTACACGACAAACCCAAACCCCGAAACCCTAAGCCCTAATTAAACCCTATACCCCCTAATCCTCAACCTTGAGCCCTAGAGCATCTTGGACATTTCTACGGAATGGTATCTTTGGGCGGGGGGAAAACTGAGCCCTTGCTTCTTGTCAAGCCTCCGCAACCGCGAACCCTTCCAAGCTCCCGTACGCTCCATCAAACCCGCAATGGTTTAAGATCCGGGCGGCTGAAACTGTGAAAACGGAACTTCGCAACTTTTGTCTTGGACCCTACGCTTACCCTATACCCTTTTTGTTTCCTGAAGCCTTTGGTGTCTAAGCGTTTGGAAGCTCAACAATGAAACGCTTCCTGAAAGGTTCCTCTGCAGCTACAGCTCAATAGTCGAGGCGGAGCAAGCGCTAGCCTTCCAAATGAAATTCGGGGCCCAGCATGTATGAGCCATACTCTGCACTCCTAGCATTCCCTCAATAACGCTTGTAGTACTCCCCTATATAATTCTTCTTTAAGGAGCTTAGACGAGAGCTCATGTAGCAACTATTCATGGCTAAGGAGGGGGCATCACCTCAGCTATACTTCCTTCGTGGGCTCCCCTACTACCCCGTGTTCCCCCTTAAGGCACCTCAACTATTCGTAAGTAACATGAATCAGGAACAACCCTTGCCGGCGTAGAAGGGGAACCCAAGATTCCTAGTAGTGTAGGCCTTGGAAGTGATATCTCCAAAGCCTCACTCATCTGGGGATCTGTAAAGCATGGGTAGCCCCTACGGATTGCACAGATACATGCTACGTGGGATCCTTTAGTCCCCTCCTGAGGTAGATAGAATATAACTTTCGGTTTAGGTATATTATGATGAGATCCCCATATACCCCATATCCTATCTACTTAAGGGGTACTAGAATCCCCAGCCCCCAAACCCAAAGCCCTAGGGGTTTGGGTTAAAGTCATATCGGGGGCCCTACATATCCGTACTGTACCAGTATTCCTGACGTAGGGGCCTGACCTAAGATATTCTTGAATAATCAGGGTCTCTGCGGGGTTTGGGATTTAGGGTTCAGGGTTTAGGGTTTCGGGTTCATGGTTTAGGGTGTAGGATCCTAGCAAATCCTTACCTGATTATTGGTTCTTAGTAGGGAATAAGGGAATCTAGTATATAGGGGTTATATAGGGAATCCAAAATTCCCTTATTCCAAGCCCTAAACCGTAAACACTGAACCTTACTCCCTACTAAGAACCTGTACTTGGAGGTCCGTGGTACTTATAACCTACTTAGTAACTGTACTTATAACCCAATAATATCTAGGGTAACTGTAGTTATGGAATTTATACTTAAGTTATAACTACAGTTACTAAGTAGGTTATTATAAGTACCACGGACCTCCAAGTAAGCTACCCTACCACTCCCACCTCGCGTATGTCACATACCAGTCGAAGAAAGCTGCCCCTGAGCAAGGTGCTTAGGGTTTGGGAATTTTAGGGTTAAGGAATTTTAGGGTTTAGGAATTTTAGGGTTTAGGAGTTAGGGGGTTGAGGGGTTTGGGGGTTTAGGGTCTCGGGGTGTTGTAGGAGGTTTTGGGGATCTAGAGTCCTGGGGTTAAGGCTTCAGAGTTTCAGGGTTAATGCTTAGGGCTTCTGCATCAGTCAGAAATCATCCCAAATCCCAGACGGAAACTAAAGATCCCCTAGGGTAACCTTGGACTAACCCATAGGAATATCATGGGCTTATATGAGAGGATATATGAGAGGAAGCTGCTAGGAGTCTGGAATGGGTTTGGGAGATGCTAACTACTAAAGCCTTGGCAGCTTGACACTCTAAACCCTACTTGGAGGTCCATCGTACTTATAACTTACTTAGTAACTGTACTTATAATCCAATTATATCTAGGGTAACTGTAGTTATGGAACTCATATTTAGGTTATAACTACAGTTACTAAGTCGATTATGAGTAACACGGACCCCCAGGTAAACCCTATACCACGTCTATAGAAATGGCACAGGGCTCATGTCCTGAGTTTTGGGCGCAGTTTTTTGGGCAGGGTGTTGAGCAGGTTTTGTGTTCTGCTTTTTGGCCCTTTCCAATTAGGTTTAGGGCTTAAGGTTTAGGATTTCTGTTTATTTGGAGCCCTAAACCCGAAACCCTATACCCTATACCCTAAGGTTTTTGCAGCATGACAGAGCTGTTAGGGCTGCAGGTCAAGGAATGTATGCCGGAATACAAGAAGTGTAGGAGAGCTGCGCGGAACTGTGCAGGAAGTCTTTCGCAATTGTTGTTAAAGGGGAGGTGATCTTTTTCTAGGCTCCCTATGTAACCTCTTGTTCTCCTAATAAGGAACCTTCTCCCAGCAAGAAAAGAAACCCCGTTGGAGCTACAGTCGATATTTCCCATATCAGTGACGGACATGGGTTCCCATGGGGGCTATACTAGACTACAAAATCCAGCCCTACGGGCCCTACGCCCACCTTAATGGGGCCTGGCCTAACATTAGCAACAGCTCATTTAACTATTGTGCTTTGAGGGTGGGGCTGAGGATTTAGCTGTAGGACTGCATCGCCCTTGGGTTTAGGGTTTAGGGTTCTTGCGTTTGCGGTGGCCCGCAACCGCAAACTCTGTCGAATCGGTCTTCGTGCGGAAGATGGAGTGGAGGTCGCCCAAGATCTTCTCCACCGCATAGGTTTGGTGCCGATCGCTGCACTCGAAGATTATGTGGGGGTTTCCCAAAATTAGGGGTACCTTTTTGGGGGTCCGTATCATAAGGACTATAGTATATTGGGGTCTATATTGGGGTACTAATTTTGGGAAACTAAGTTCCTTGGAGTCAAGGTTGTAATTGCGGCTTACTCTGGTGTGAGGCGCTCCACGACAAACACCCAGTAGAATGGCTTCAGATGGAGTAAGAATTCCTGGGGCTGATGGGTTTCAGACGGTTTTGGGTATCATTCGGGTTTAGAGTTTTTCCAGGTCTGCAATAAGCTAAGCTGCTCCATTCCAGTTCTAGCCGGACGCCGTGGTTCATATGGAGATTCCTCAAAGGTCCTTCTGGGATCCTCTCTAAACCCTAAACCCTAAACCCTAAATAGCCCCGATCGTGTTGGCGGAGAAATTCTTGCACCACGTTACGCTCCCTGCATTTAAAGCGCCCTAGGTAGTACAAGGTTGTCTCCATATACCGTAGGGTATCCTATTTTGAGAAATTCCCTTCAGTCTTTAGGGCGTAGTATTGAGAAATTCCTTGAAGATCAAAGTTTGGATGCTGTCTGAAGTTTCTGATGCTGTTGCGGCTGCAAACCTTGCATGACCGTAGTAAGATATGACTATGCAATACTAGAACTCTCAAGGTATAAGCTATTTAGTGTCACGCAGGATGCCTTTGTATTCCTCAGCGTCCATGGACGTAATGTATAGGCCTATGTATTGGTATTTGGTTGCCGCAGTCTGCTTTACTGACAGCTTTGGCCTCTCAATCCCACCCCCCCTGTAATACTAAACATTCCCACTCAGGGTGTGTGGATTCCTTATTCAGACTTGTGCAAAACGCCTTTCTCGTGCAGTTCACACGCTTGAGCTAAAATCCGCGTGCTATGCTTCATGTGCATAATGGCTCGGGCTTGCCAATGTATAATCCCTGTTTAAGCCTAGATACTATAGTAGCTTCCGTTTTTTTCCATTATCCCAATATAGCCTTATAACATACTATAATGTACTGCCTAATACATGACGTGGATTTGTTGGTTCCAAACTGTTAGACGGCTCAGGAATCACATCGGCCCCATTGCCCAATAATCATGTATATCTTAAGAACACGAAACAAGTCCAATTTAATGGTACTACATTCCTTGTTGAATTATAGTATGGGGTACCTCAAACCGACCTCAAAATATCATGCTGGTGATTTCTTAAGCTCCTATACTACGTGGAACACACTCAGTTCCCGAACGAGCAATTTTGTAAGCATCCAGGGTTTAGCGTTTATGGTTTAAGGTTTGGGGTTTAGGGATGCTGGGTTAGGTCATCTGTTCCAAGGCTGGGAATCGAAGGATGGAGTCTTTTGCGGCTTAATCTCTTTTCGGAACAGTATAACCCCAACCCCTACCCTACACCACCCCTCGGAGAACACAAGAGAGAGAAAGAGACAGAACCGAAATAATGACAATCACAAAACTTGTTATCATAGTTGTAAAACTAATATACATATACACATAGCCACGGATTTAGACGGCTAGATTGGAAGAACAAACTGGCGCCCTGCCTGCACGGGCATGACGAGCATCCCAATACACGGACTCAGTTGCTGCTCGAGTTTCCATGTGTGTGTGTGTGTGTGTGGTTTGTTTGTTTGTTTTTTTTTGGGGGGGGCACAATATAGAGTAGTAGAAAAATATTGAAAATGTCGTATCATACAGTCTAGTACGGCGATGCCTAGTATAATGTAGTGTAGTATCGCATGTTAAACTCAAAAGGTTTAAGGTTCACAGGTTTAGGGCTTCAGGAAGTGGGTACAAGGTACAAAAACCTTAAACCTCGAACTTGAAACCCTAAACCGGATCCCTGAGTTGATGCCTTGCCAGGTCATGGGGTTTTCTTAAAAAAGGACATGTGTTTGAAACTATGCTTCGTGCAGCACCCTAGGGATCGAAATTGGTCAATGTGGGTAATAGTAACAGACTTTGGAGCCCCATGTAGGTATCATTCGTAGACTTGGATCCGTGGAGGTAAGGCTAGTTGAATGATGTGTTGGTTCGGTACTGCCCCCACTCTGTAACAGTCTTTACTTGGGGTTATATTAAGGGCTAGATACAACTATATTATAAATGTTATCCAAGTGTTACAAAGTGTGGGGGGGGGAGTTCCCAATGTATTGCATTTTGAAAGTACAACACCTAAACTCTAAACCCTATAAACCCCATAAAGCCTAAAACCAGAACCCTACAAACCCTATAAATCCTAAACCCTACAAAGCCTATAAACTCTATAAGTCCCCCTAAGCTCTAAAAACTATAAACCCTATTAATGAACCTAAACTCTAAAAACCTGAACTCCATAATTTGTGTTCTTTTCTTAGCCTTGGTCCCCGACATGCACGAGCAATCACACTGGCTCGGATCCAGCTTTATCAACTTGGGCAGGATTTGCAGAAAGTGTGTCCGCAGGGAGCGCACATATGACTCTGCGTCTTCTCCTGCCAAGTGTGTATACACATTTGAAAAGCAGAATGCAAACATCTTGCATTCTGATCCTGCAGACACAGGGCGCACGGCTCTCTGCCTATCACTCCGAAGACACGCACCTCGCAACCAAGCAGACGATGAGCAACATGAGTCGGAATGTCCGAGGATGCTTTCCCCTGCATCTCAACCCGGCAAGTGGGGCAGAGCATCCTGTTGAGAAACTCCCATGAGTTTAAAGTTTAGGGTGATAGTGCTTGGATTCACGATCTTAGGCTGCTTGCAACTTAAACACCGAATCTGTACCAGCTAACATACGAATACAAGGATTTAATAGCCCCCGCATCTAGGGCACAATTATATTCACATGATTGTAGGGTCCTAAATTTGGGGGCGGTGGGGATCACCAAAACTTTGGACCGAAACCTTGTGCGCATTGTGAACAGCGCAAGCTTGACAATGACCCGCGCTACTGGATCTAAACCCTAAACCCTAAACCCTAGAAAACAATGGGGCTCACAGGTGGTAACAATTTGGGCCTCTTTCGTAGAGTCTGGGTCACTGACCGCTTTTGTACGCTTTACTTAACTTCCGCTCCTCGTCACCGGCATCGTCCCTTTAAACCCTGCCCCCTACACCAAATGACTGCTTTAAGCCCACTGCAGACACTGTGAGAGTTGGGTGAACCTAGCACTCGAGTTTAGGGTTTGAGGTCCAGGGTTTGGGATTTAAGGTTTAGGGCTCTTATTTTCCAAGTGCCCTTGCCCTAAAGCAATAGATTCCCCAGCCCCAAATCCTGTACATCCCTATAACTCCATTGAAAATTGGGTCAGTCCCCCACCTAGTACCGCAAAGGACTACTGTAGGTATATGAAGCCACTTTTGACTCCACCTTTAGGGGCTATTACTGTAAGGGGGGTTGGCCTAAACTAACCCTAAACCCTAAACCCTAAACCCTAAACTTAGCGCACTGCGTGAAGAATCCCGAGCCCTACCTGGAAAGTCTACTTGTCCCGTAACGTACTGAATAGGGGCATATCTAGTATGGGGATTATATTGATTATATTCCCTTGTTCCCTACGAACAACCAGTAAGTAAAACATCGGTATACTTAACCCTAAGTAGCAGGAAATCAGAGGAAAGTTGGCTATGATTCTGGGCGAGCGGCTGTCTAGGTCAAGCCCAAACCCTTGAAACCCATGAACCCTTAGTAAGGGTTTAGGGTTTAGGGTTTAGGGTTAGATTCTAACCCTAAGCCTTGAACCTTAAACCTTCACCCG